CTCTCGCTCTCTCTCTCACCCGCGGGCGCGAGGCGGTCTCTCGGTCGCCGCCCTCCTCCCTCGCCCTCCCTGGGGCGCGCACCCGCGCACCCACCCTGCGGGCGCGTGGACCGCGGTACCCCGGGTCCTGGCGCCTCCCCGAGAGCCGCGACCTCTCTCCCCCTCCCTCCCCACGCCAACCCCTTGCGGCGCGCACGCGCCCTCGGCTTCCTTCGCCCCCCCCCCCCAGGACGGCGGAGCGAGCGCGCGAGGAGCGAGCGCGGGCCGTGGGAAGCTGCTCGGCGGGTCGCGCGCTCGCCGGGCCGGGACGACTTGGCTCTTTTTTTTTTTTTTTTTTTTTTGCACAATGCCAGGTAGAACCGGATTGCCCGCCCTTGCTGCGGCGGCGAGGCGAGCGCGCGCGCGCAGGTTGGTTGTTGACCACCGATTGGGAAACTGAGGTCCGGGCCGCCCAGGGTCCCCTCCCCGTCCCCCGCCCCCCTTTTCCATCTAACCCCGGGTCGGCGCGCCCCCGTCGACGTTCCTCACGAGGCCCTGCTGGGAGAAATGAGTCGCCACCTGAGGGCCGCACGGGGCAGGGAGCGCGAACTCAGGTCGGTGCTGCAGGACCGGTGAGGCAGCAGCGGGAAGTCAACCCGCCGGCTAGCTGCAGAGGAGGCAGTTTTCCGGTGACAGCCACTTGTCAGCCTACCTTCTCAAGTCACTGGTCTAACGGACAAGTCTTCAGTGCTCTCTCCCTGGGCCGGGCATTGTTCTGGCTGCAAATGCAGGCAGAAGCCCATCACCTGTTCTTTGTTACAACAGGAAATGAAGAGGGACCTGTGGTCCTCCCGGGATGCTATACTTGCATGCCCCGTCGCTTTCAGTAGCCCCTAAGATATTGCAGTGCACTCATGACGGTGCAAAGGTTTTAAAAATAAAGTCGATATAGGTGACAGCCTGGTGGCCTCTGTTCCCATTTGCTGATTCGGAATACTTTTTTTTTTTCTTCTTGATATCACGGGATCAAAAGAAGCTCTTCTTCCCTTTGTATTGTCTGTGGTTATTGGTAATTCTTTAAGTGCCTTGTTTACTGATTTTCCAATTTCAAACACTGATATTCACCATCAAGACAATTTACATATAGATCACTATATGCTACGTTTTCTAGTCACATCCATTTAGCCATAAACAACTAAATCTAATTAATCTCATAAAATGGAAGGACCCACTTTAGATAAAATAAGCCCGTGAGAAAGCTTGGCACAATTGTGAGATGATAAAAAATAAGTGTAAGGTAATTTGATACCATTAAGTGAAATGTCCTCATTATGAACTTGAGAATTAGTGAAGATGGATCTCTGTTTTGAAGTTTAGAAAACATTCCAGTATTAAGATAGGAGAGTCCCTAAGGAGAGAGTAAATTGCTACCTGTCCAGAGAAATGGCAAGACAGTAGTTATGTGCATTTCATATGTTCCAAAGGCTAGCTCAGAAGAACTGGATATTGACACCAAAGCACAGTGGAACCCAGAGAATTCTCAAATTTACAAATCACAAAAGGAACTGTAAACTTACTTACTATCAAAAATATAACACACATACATTAAAACTTTAATTCATATAAATATTATCACCTGGTATATTCAGGACAATATACTAGGTGGTGAGAATATATATCCTGAGTGGGGATCACATTCAGTCAACTGCAAACAGGGAGCATCATGGGCAAAAGAGAGTATTTAGTTACTTTTCATGACCATCACCAAATTGCTGACGTAGCTTAAAAGAGAAAAGGCTTAGTTTGGTTCAGTTTCAGTATAGTCTGTCATGGTGGGAAGACATGGTCCAATAATGGCGGACGAGAAAGCTGGATAGTGGCAGGAAGCAGACAAGGATAATGCACCTCCAAGGCCCGGTCTCCAGTGATGTACTTCTCCATCCAGGTCTCACTTCTCAAGTTCTCCTCAGTCTCCCGAAGAGCTTCACCAACTAGACCAAAACCCTGAGGCAGATATTTCAGCTTCAAACCCTAACAGGGAAGGCAGAAGTTTGCTTTCTGTAACTGCTAAAAGTGCCTCAGTACTCAAAAAGTAGCCAAGTTGAGAACCAACAGAATAGCCATGAACCATCATAGCAAGAGCAAGGTGCCTTTAGCAAACACTATGACATTTACTTTCCAGGCCAGACCTGTACCAAAGTACCAAGACAAGCTACTTTTCAGTCGGAAAGAACCACCAGACTGAACTGAGAAATCACAGGCAGAAATTGTCGTCACTCACTTAAAGAAAACTACTAGAAACAACTAGGAATAGGAAGGAATGCCGTTGTAGACATAAAAGGAAGTAGAAGTCACCATTCTATTCCAATAACCTTTGGCACAATTCTCAAGTTCATGGAACCTTTTTCTAATGTCCCCAGATATCATTTAAAATAGGACATATCACTTGCCTATTTGAGGTGTGCATTGGCGTGGTCAAAACCCCTATCTTTTGAGCCCAAGCTCAAATGGTACAATTCCTGTAAATACATTCCCCTCCACCAGTATCCTTCTTGTTTAACTTTCACAGTTGTTACTTCCCATTATAAAGACAACTATGTTATGTATGTTATGATTTGTGAGTTAGTGTACATCAAGAATTGATTCAAATTGGAGAAATCCCTCAGTCATATCTTCATCACTACCTTACCCAACATTGGAGCCCTTGACAAGAAGCTATCTTCTTATAGTGATGAAGTGCTCACGTATTAATTTAAACTCTTCTTTAGTTTGAGTACAAACATGCCTCCAACATGTTTGTTTGTCTTACTTTTTCCTCTTTTAGTATTTGTTGTATGATGAAAGCTTTTCCTGGGGAGATGCAACACACACGTCTACTCACCCCAGGCAGGGAGTCCTCAATGGACCAAAGTATGGACACCACCAAAGTCCAGCTTGGTGAACCAATGAGTTTTATTGGGGTTACTTACAGGAGTATGGGTGGGGGGTTACTTAGAAGGAGCAGAAATGATTCAGACTGCTGCATCACCAAATCCCCCTACCCCCAGCACAAGTGACAGCTCACAAAAGCTGGATAACCTGGAGCACACTGCACAGCCTGTAGGCAGCTCAACAAGTTAGAAAGTGTCCTTTCCAAGTGACTGGTTCAAACCTCTTCCAGGCAGCTCAGCATGTTTCTGATTCTCCCATGCAGCTGGCTGGGCTGGTCTCGGAGTCGTCTTTGCAGCTTTTCTCCTCTTCTTTGTGGCTCAGCTGCCTTTTGTCTGAGGTGGACTCTCAGCTTTTACTGCTTACTCTGGGAGGGAGAGCCTAGTGAGTCTGGTAAGTTTCAGGGACTTCCTAAAGCTACTTTTAATTGTTTACTTTCTGGTTTAAGGAGCTTTCTGTAGATGGAGTGTAATCTTGGATGAAAGTGTCATGCAACAGTATTAATCAGCAGCAATTCTCTCTCTTGTTATGTGTATTCAAACCTACAGCTAAACAGTCCCACTTCCTTTGAACCCTTCTTCATTTGAACTTAGCTGAAGACTGAGAACCAATTCTTCTTTCAAACATTGGTGGTATCACATTGTATTGAGTTCCTCTATCACTATAGGCACTCACCTTTGGGAGCTGAAATTCTGATAAATCCATGTGTAAAAACACTAAGTTTAAAAATTTAATACAAATAGAAAGGAAAACATAGTGGTCTATCATGATCTATCTTTGCTCTATGTCAGACATCTTGTAGTGCAACACAAGATAAGCTTTTCTGTCAGTTATAGTTAGCTGTTCATACAACCTGACCTTGTAAGTACAGATGAACTTATACTTCTTCCCAAACATTTTTATTTCCCCTGTGGCATAGTTTTAGGCACATATTATTAGAGTCCTCCAAGTACTATACTCCGTACAATATGCTGAATCATTAAATTCAATTGCAATACGTTGAATGTGCTCATTTATATTACTTCAAATTGCCTAGGATTTTTATCAAAGCTGAAGGAAAGAAGGCAACAGAACCTTTGGGTAGGCTAAATCTGTCTTTATGATCTACACCAGCATATCCTAGTTCTCTATGCCTAGGTAAAAATCAAAAAGAGAACCAAAACCATAGAAATAATCACAAAAATAATAATACATAATAAATGAGGGCAGTGGTTTTAAAGTTTCTTCTCATAATATTGCTATAACCTTTCCTAGGCCTTTATTATGAACAGAAGGACAAAAGAAAATTCATGATTGATAGGAAGTTGAAAGCAACTGAAATATTCTAAATTAATATGCCTTGAATCAAATAGTGCCTGGACTTATGAGGATCAAATGAGATAATGCATATAATAATATTGTAATAACCATAAATACAAAGTCAGAATATCATTATTTTGGGAGACTTAGAATATCATTTAAAAAAATATAATTATTTTGTAGTACAAAATTCTTGAACTAGCTCAGTAATCATTTTAAAACACCAAAAAACCTGTATTTGGATTAAATTTATGATTATAGTGCTGAGGCTTTTAAGACAAGACAATGGTTCAACATATGCAAATTAGTTAATGCACTATATTAACATAATGAAAAATAAAAGTATGATCATCAATAGATACAAGAAAAGAAAAAAATTCAGCAATATTCAACATCCTTTCATGTTAAAAAGGCCTTCAA